GTCACAAAGCCCCAGCCGAGAGATGACCCGTCCGTGAACACATCGAGCGAAGGCTCGGGGAGGTGCCAAGGCACGGAACCCCGAAAACCCCAAAGAGGAAGCTGGTGACGAAGCACCAACACAAGATCCCCGGAGGAACAAACCCAACGAATGCAAGAGGCGGAAGGGGACTCTCCGAAGGAACCAAACAGACGCCGAAGCCAAACCCGACTCCGCGGGCAGACCAGCACGCCGAAGTTCAGACTCCCGCACAACCGCTCAAGCAACAGCTGAGCAACCCGGGACCCCCTCATGTACAGCCGAAGTCAGGACCACAGCCGCAGTAACACTTCTGTAGGGAAAGACAATGAGTGGCCCAATAGCCCTAAACAAGGCCCAGGTCCGAACACGGGACGGAAACAGATGGAAAAGCCTCCAGATCACCAGGAAACCAAACCCGGTGATCTGGAAGGAACCATACCCCTGGCGAGCAGACAAGCGGACTGACTGGGAGCCCACACCAGCCAGTCCTCGGGGTAGGCCAAACACCGAATCTCAGACGCAGACAGGGCACTAAGATTTGGTAAAGATACAAAAATTATACCAAGTGCCCATTACCAAATAGGGAAGGCAAGAAAAGCAGCATACCTGAAGCCCCACCAACAACTGTCAGCCCCAGAAAACTGGAGAGGAACATGCCAAGAAGTGACCTGAAGGACCAGGACCACCATCCAGGCACCCGGCCCCAACAGAAGCCGGACAGGAGACAACAGTCCTCCGAGGAGGGTATAGGAGCCAGGGCGCAGACTGAAGAAGTCCAGAAGAACTGCAGATGGGAAAAGCTCGTGACTGCAAAGAGCAGACGGGAACCCCAGAAGGATGGGGCGGAACGACCACGTCCAACGCACCCACTAAGATGACATGACAAAACGCAGGGGAAAAAGCCCACCCCGCCAGCGCTGAACCCCCCCAAAGGGGGAGAAGCCGTCGACCGACGCCACCAGAGGCCGGAAGACAACCCAAAGCGCCCACCAACAGCGGAACCATGCGAGAGGCAACAGAGCAAGCTGCTCCCCCAGCGCCCCGGCAACAGAGAAGGTAACAGAACCCCTTCCGAAAGAAAAAGTACACACACATATGCACAGTAAGATATGTGACACACACGTGCGTATACAGATGTGCACACACACACACACAGTGGACACATGTACATGCGTACACACACACATAATTCAGGAGGAGAGACTACGGGAATTAAACCTCACTTCGCTGGAAGACAGAAGAGTGAGGGGGAACCTGATCACCACATTCAAGATTCCCAAGGGAATTGGCAGGGTTGATAAAGACAGGCTATGTAACACAAGGGGCACATGCACTAGGGGACACAGGTAGAAACTGAGTGCCCAAAAGAGCCACAGAGATATCAGATAGAACTTTTTTAGTATCAGAGTGGTTGACAAATGGAATGCACTAGGAAGTAATGCGGTGGAGGCTGACACCATATAAAGTTTCAAGTGTAGACAGGACAGAGCCCAATAGGCTCAGGAACCTGTACACCTGTTGACGGTTGAGAGGCGAGACCAAAGAGCCAGAGCTCAACCCCCGGAAGCACAACTAGGTGAGTACATACATTGTAAAAGAAAAATATTCAAGTCGCCGACTAGTGGGCAGAGAGCACCACGCCGGCCAGGCAAAGAAGGCACAAAACTGCATCAAAAGGCCCACCTCGACAGCAAAACCTCAAAGTCCCAGCACGACCACATGTGCCAAGACCCAAAAAGATCAGTCTGCAAGCCAGGAAGACCCTGGAACCCCAGAAGGCAGAACCGGGTCACACGAGGAAACAAAGTCCCCTGAACCCACAAAAGGGGGCCCAAGAGGAAGAAACCTCCGGAACGAAACCAAAGAACCCAAAGGAACCCAGAATCGAACCAGGGGGAGCCCAAACCACCACATTTTGCCGGCGGAGAACACCACAGAAAGGCAAAGCACAGCCCCCTGACAGAACCCCCTGGGAAAACGGTCAAAACAGACCGAAAACCAAGGGGCGAGGTGTGGGAACAAGCATACCAGCCAGGGACACTGAGCCCAAACCCAAAGGCCCAGACCCAAAACAGACAAAAATGGGAAACCCGGTGTAAAATCAACACCCAAACGTTCCCAGAGGAACAGGCAACGGGCAGAAAACACCAGAAAAGCAAAGAAACGACAACAGGGGAATAAAAACCCCTGAAAAAGTTGAAAACTCACCCGAGACGCTCGCTCGCACACCCAGTCGCATGTAAACAAACCGCAACGCCGCCTGGTGGCCACGCCGGGAAACCGGCAGACGAAAATGGCCGCCAGCAGGGGCTGTGACTGACGCTAAATATACAAAAACACGCCAGCAAAAGGGGAAAGCAAGCAGACTGGATGGGCGAGAAACGCCGCCCAACAGCAGAAAACCCAGGCAGGGGCAAACTGCCTCAGAACTGCTAGCAGGCATCCCCCACAGCCCCGGGAACCAACAACAGAGGCCCTGGGGCAGAGCCGTCCTCCAAGCCCTCCGCCCTTAAAGAAAAGCAAGAGTCCATGGGAAAGGCAGCAAGAAAGGGCCACTGGTAAGACCCAGCAGCCTTGGCAGGAGGAACAGGCTCAAAAACCTCCATCCCCCAACCGAAATGGGGCAGCCCCCGAAAACCGCCCGAGTCTCTGCCCCAACTAAACCCCGCCCCGACCCCGAAACCCACAGACAGACCGGAGCCGGGAACAGGGAGGGAAAGGGGCGAACAGAACCTAACCAAACGGGGTGACCTCGGGGCATCCGAGTGGGAAACCAACCTAGCATGTTGCAACAACCTAACCTACCTTGCAACACGGATGCCGCCTGTACTCTGAACAGTAATAACATCAGGAGAGTACTGGAGAACAAGCAGAGAATCTCTCGCAAGACTCCGAGTCAAGGTGTCAGTGACCCAACAGGCAGCATGACGGAGGTAAAAATGGCGACTGTCACCCGAAGACAAGGGTACAGCAACCAACAATCCCATACAAGATGGGTTGGAACCCGGAAGACACATTCAATGGTCCCCCGAGCCCAGACAAGGGTTTCCAGGACCCGTAGGGGTAACAACTACGGGAAGCCCGGGCAAGGTGTTGCTAACCGGTTAAGAAACCCACACATAACAAGAGGGTAGAGGATAGCACTGAAAACCCCTGCGACGTGTACAATCACAGAGGCCTAGTAGAGGGCCGCCAATCACTACCAGTGGAACTATAGCCACACTAGGCAGTCCCCCACCAGTCATGAAAATAAAAACAAAAGAAAAACCCCGCAAAAGTACACCGTCTCCAGCGGCAACAGGAACCGGCTGCCGTGTAGGTAGCAGGTCGTGCAACACCTTGACGCCCTAACCAGCACAATACCAGTCCCTAACCAGGGCCAAACAAGGGCCCCAAGCCCCAGCTGACCCCAAGGGCGAGGCAAATGCCGAGTAGCAAGAACCTCTACGGGAATGGTTCCCGAACACCCCAGGGAAGATAACCCTGTCATGCAGGGGCAGTACTCACAGGGCGCTTAGGGAAGGAAGACCCTAAGCGCATGAAGCCCTAGTACTGATGAGAAACACCTAGCCACCGCACAACACAACACACGGCAGTGAATGCCACACAAGGCAAACACCGCCTAGGAAACTGAGGCCAGAGAAGCGTCTATCCCGGTTGACATTAGCTTACGAACTGATGCTAGGCAGCCGGCGCGGAAGGTCCGGGGTTACCCCCTCCCCCTCTTGGGGCAGGGAGGGCTGCGCAGACGATCGGTGCAGCAGTAAAGTGTGATGTTTGCTTATTTGCTCGTTTCCTTGGGATTGTAGGGAGTTTCTACCTCTCTGTTCGGTTTTTGTTTTAGTTTCTTACTATGTGGGGGTTTGTTTTGTTATGCCTACCTTTCTGGGTGCCTAACCCCGGTCGACGGCAGATAAGGAAAACCCCAACCACAAGGGTTTTCCAGGGCCATTGCTCCCTGAAACCTCTCTGTAGGGGCCAGGTTCTGGCGCTGGTCCCTGGTAGGTCTGAACTCCTTAGCTAATGTCCTGGTCTAATATACATTAGCCCAATAAGTTTCAGGGAGCCGTAGGGGCTCCCCACAGAAAAGGAGATGGAACGTCTGCCGTACTGAAAAACATCCTAACGCCAGCGAGCCACCAGGAGGTTGGAAACCAAGACCCCCGACAGGCTTCAGAGAAGGGACACTGAGAGAGACTGAAAATGCCAACAGGCCGGGAAAGCCAGGAACCAGAATTGAACCTGGCAATAAGAGAGCCAAAAGGCACAAAGAAAACACACAACATGTAGGGCAAAAGGAAGCTGAGGAACGAAGAAGGTAGGCAGGAAACGGGAACGAAAGGACCGGACCAACACCAAAAGCCGCTAGACATGTCCAAAAAAAAAACTCGAGAGACAGAAGATCCAGAGGGGACATGACCACCACAAGCAAAATCCTCAGAGGAAACAACAGTGTAGAGAAATACAAGCCAAGGAACACATGGGGGACACGTAACGGGAGAAACATGTTGAACTGAATGCCCAAATGAGCCATAGAAAAGAGAAGAAGCACACCAGTGTCCGTAGGAGACAATAAGAATGCACGAGTAAGGGAAGTGGCGGAGGCCAACCCCACACCCGGAGTCAAGAGCAGAGAAGATAGCCTAGAATGCTCAAGAACCTGTTCAGAAGTCGAATGACAGGCGAGAGGCGGGACCAAGAGCCAAAGCCCATCCCCAGCAAGCACAACTAGGTGAGGACAACTAGGGGAGTACAGAGAATCCAATGTACATGGAAAAGCGAAACCTGGTACAGCAAGACTGGCAAGGAAAGAGGGACCAGAAAATCATGGGAACAAAGAACCCAAACAAGGAAGGCCCCCAGGAAGAAGCACGGAAGGGCTGAACAAAACGCCACAACCATACCCCAAACACGCAACCGCAGTACCAAAACCATAGCAAAAGTCACCACACAACACCCCTGGCCACAGGAACACGTACCACGTAACAGGCACCTCCATCTTTGTACCCTGGAACACAGTGGAAGCAGGGCCCCGAAACACAAGTATGGGTGGACATGCAGAGGAGAGGGACAGGAAGGGCATAATTAGGAGCCGCCTCGTATGGGCCAAGAGGCCCCCCTGCAGTCACCTGTATTCTGACGTCCGAATCAGGAGGCAAGGAACAAGAGCCGCCACGTATGGGCCAATAGGCCCGCTGCAGGCATCCCTGTTTGTATGTTCCATGTTCTCATGCACGTATGTACTCCCATTCGTACCCCCAAAACGAACCAGTGCCTGAACGAAGGAGACACTTGACCACATAAACTCACCTGCAGAACATAGGCACGGGAGGATCACGACAATGTCACTAGGTTGGTGCTGCCGGAGGCGGCAAGGGTGTCGTTTACCCACAGCCCAGAAAATGGAGCACCACCCGCGGAAGCAGGCCGGAGCCGCTCATGCAGGAGAAGAGGAGGGGAGAGGAGAAGAGGAGGGAAGAGGCGAAGGAGGTGCCCCCACCCAAAACGCAGCGAAACCCCGGCGTCCTCCCCATAGCGGCACTCCAGAACACCCCAGGAACAACGGGGCATGGACTGGAGAATGAGAAGAGGGAGAGGCAAAGCACTCGAGAGAAAACAGACGGAGAAACCCAGCACTTGTGGCCACCGCCCAAACCAAAACAAACTCCCACGGCGCATGCACAAGACACTAAAGTAGCCCAACAGTTTGTATCCTGAGTGATTCGCTTAAGAGAAGAAACATCCCAATGCACAGGAACAGAAGCCAAAAATGAGTAAGCAACGACACACACAGCCGGTGCAGTTAATTAAAACAATGAACCGAACTGGAACCCAACTGGGCTACCAGGAGCCCAATTGGGTGACAAGTAGCCCAATCGGGCCACAAGCAGCCCAACCTGGCATTCCGGACCAGGAGTATGGAAGGAAACGAGCAGTGCCGAAACAGCACGGAGAGAAGATACATGAACAAAAGAATGAGACAGGGCCAAAAACCAAGAGGAAACACGGAAGAGGACCAACAAGCTCTAGAAATGACTGGAGGGAAGCCTCACCGAAAGACGACAGACGTTCCAATAATACGGGAAGGAGCAAAAACCATCCTGAACCTTCAAGAAAACACAAGCAAGTACAAACGACGAAGGCATAGAAAGGCCTTGTCGCACCCGAGACCAAAAGTCATGCAAAACACCAAAAAGAGGGGAACATGATGGAGAAGTCCCGTCCCAAGGAAAAGGGGGGAATAACGAAGAAGAGCACCCACCGACAGGATGGAACCAACGGGCTGAAGGGACAAGGAACCGAGCTCGGGGGGGGGACCAACACCCAACAACTCATGTGGAGAGTGGGGAAGGAAAACCACACTCTGCGCAACCGCAAGACCCGCCCAGAGGGGTAGAAAAAACCCGGCGGGGTCCAACAGGGCCTAAAGCCCCCCAAGTCAGCCCCTCCCAAGTCCCGGGAACCCACACGGTAGGCCCCGGGGCCGGGCTGGGTCATCCCCCCAAAGCCCCAGTTTCAAGAAAAAACCGGGGCAGCCGTGAAAAGCACAAAGGAAGGGAGCCCACTGGCAGACTCTTACAACACGGCTGGAGGAACAGGCTCGAATGACCCCGTCGCAACCCCGAAAGGGGAATTCCTCGAGACCAACCGAGTCTCATAACCATGGAAACCCCGCCCCGACCCCGAACCCTCAGACGGGAAGGACCCGGATGCAGGGAGGAAAGGGGGAGGGGACCTGACAAGACCACCGACCACAATGAGGCAGCCTCGGGGCTTCCGGGGAGCAAACAACCTAGTGCGTTGCCACCGAAGCCCAAAGTGTAACGCCCGAGCTGCCTGCACACACATAGTCAGCATAAGACTGGGTAACCGAGTCACAGACAAGCAACAAAACTCGCTGGACTCAGGGCCGAAGGTGTCACCGACCCCCACAGGCAGCAGACGGAGGCAAAACCAATAGTCACCCTGAGACAAGGGGACAAAGCAACCCTCAAATTCACACAAAGCGAGGGGGGGGGGGGACTCCGGGGCCACATCCATTGGGCCCACGCATTCCCTAGGGGTTTCCCAGGGTCCTGAGCATTTACTATAAGAGGACTCGCACTCAGGTAATCCCAGGCAGGGTACTGCTAACCGGTGCTCAAGTCTACCAAACAACTTTCTAAGAACTGAATCCCCGGGACGTGTATACTCACGGGGACCTAGCAGGGGGAACCACCAGAAGAAGGAAGAGAACTCAGTACAAAAGGGGGAAAGAACCAAAGGCAGACCCCCCCCCACCAGGTAGACAAACAAAAAGTGAAAGAAAACCCTGTAAGAGTACAGCGTACCCAGACGGAACAGAGCCAGCCACTATGATTGGTGAAAACAAGCTGAGCAGTACCCTGCGCCCCTACCAGTGCAAACTGCCCCTTACCCTAAGGCGAACAAGGGAGACAGAACCCCCTATCACACAAAGGGCGGCCGAAAACCAAGCAGTAAACGGCCTAGCAGAAGCAGGACCCAAGGAACTTGTGGAAGGTAACCCCAAGCCCCAAGGGCAGTACTTACAGGGCACCTAGGGAAGGGAACCCTAGGCGCATGCAGCCCGAGTACTGGAGACTCACTCCGGCTCACGCACCACCTAGAAGACAGACACCACACTCTAGGTACAGTGCTGAAACAACCACTGGAGCCGGAGCACACAACCGGTGCCTTTAGCATCAGCAGAAGGAATGGGTTGTGGATTGCCGGCATGGAGGTCTGGGGCTCCCCTCTTCCCCCTCCCGGGGAGGGGGGAGCTGCGCAGACAGCGGCGTGGTGACATGTGATGTCATGCTAGTTTGCTCGTATCTTTTTTGGGGAGTTCTATCCACTAGTTCGGCGTCAGGAAGCAATTTTAACCAGAATAGGAGTTCCTTTCGGGGACGCTTACCTTTCTGGGTACCCGATCCGGTTGATGGCAGACATAGAATGCTTCCAACCACACAGGGGTTTCTATAGGCCATTGCTCCCCTTGCCTCTCTGAGGGGGATTAGGTTCTGGCTGTGGTCATTGGTAGGCGCACAGAACTCCATACACTTAGGTAATTACATGACTGATGCCAAAGACTGACATTAGCATATTGGCCTGTATAACTTCGGGGAACCGACGGGGCTCCCCCCAGAAATCCCGATCAGAAATCAAAGACAACCTACGAAGAGACAAAAAATGCCGAAAGGACCACCAGAAAATTTCAAACTGTCGTCTAGACGAAACTTGCAGGTGGGACACCATCAACGAAGCCACCTGATCACCATATAAGTGGTGATAAACCCAGGCCAAAATGACCAGAAGTGAAGAGTGGAGGAGAAGATCGAACCAGCCATGTACCGAACTGAACCAATCTGCTGAAGGAGATGGAGCCGCGGGAAGACCTTCGGGTTCGGACATTGAGCAAAAAGCGCCTGAAACCAGGGCTGGGCCTACCACAGGACTACTCTCCCCTGGTAAGTCTCCAACCGAGCCAGGATCCGGAACAACAACCGGACCAGAAGGAAAAGGTACAGGTAACTTTCACCTCGACCAGTCCAGCCGAAAGGCTTCGACCCTGACGGCCTTGCAGTCTGGGAAGGGCGCCACATACACTGGAAGACGCCTCGACCATGCGGATGCAAAGAAGTCCACCTCGGGGGGCGCCCGTAAGTCCGGCAGAGCCAACTCAACGAGTTGGCGTCGAATGTCCATTCCGTGGATAGGGGAATGAACCGAGACAGGCTGTGTGCCTGAAGCCTTTGACACCCCCTGAACATGAACCTCCAGGAGAGCCAAATCCCGAGAACTCGGCAGACGAGTCACCCGAAGCGACCAGCCCTAAAGAACCAAGGGCTGCATCGAACCCCAGCGATTCAGGCAATGAACCACCGGGGAGCAGTCCGAATGGAGCCAAATCATTGCTCCTCGAACGACACGAATGCTCTGAAGCGAATGCCACACTGCAGCAAACTTCCGCGCCATGCTGTGAGCTCGACGGAAGGACGGACCCCACTGAGCCTGGCTGGCCTGGTGAACACCTGTCATAAAACCCCAGCCGAGAGACGAGGCATCCGTGAACACATCGAGCGAGGGCTCGGGGAGGCGCCACAGCACAGAACCCCGAAAATCCTGCAGAGGAAGCCGGTGCCACAGCAGCTGATGCAAGGCTCCCGGGATCCGATCCAGCGATCGCGAGAACAACGGAAGTGACGACCCCGAAGAAACCAGAACATCCGCCGAAGGCAGGTCCAACCCGACAGGTAGACTAGCACAGCGAAGTTCAGGCTCCCCAACAGCTGCTCGAACAACAGACGTGTGTCCCGGGTGTCCTCCAAAAACAGCCAGAGGCGGGACGGCAGCCGCAACAGCGTCGAAGGAAGGAGAGACAAAGAAGCGGTCCGAGAGTCCCACACAAGACCCAGCCAAGTCCGAACCTGAGAGGAAACCAAATAGAACTTCCTCCAGCTCACTAAGAACCCAAACCCAGCGAGCTGGGAAAAAAACAAATCCCTGGCGAGCAGATACGAGGACTGGCTAGGAGCCCACACCAGCCAGTCGTCAAGGTAAGCCAGAACCCGAACCGCTAACAAACGCAAACGGATCACCATGACCCAGGTAAAGTGTGTGAACACTCGAAGTGCCAGATTCAAGCTGAATGGAAGGCAACGAAAGCGGTAAGCTTGTTGCCCCATGACAAAACTGAGCCAAACCCTGAACCCTGGATGAATTGGGACGTGCCAATACGCGTCCCGGAGGTCCAGAGACACCATCCAGGCACCTGCCACCAAAAGCAGCTGGACCTGAGACAGTGGTCATCCAAAAGGAGGGGGCAAAAGACCCCAGGGATTCAAACGAGACAAGTCCAGTATGAATCGCAGATCCGCACAGTCCCATTATGGAATTGAAAACAGGTGGGTAACCCACCTGAGGGACGTTGTCATTTCTACCACATCCAAGCGAACCTACTGCCGGATGACCTGACAGAGCACAAAGAAGAGGCCTGCCCTGCCAACCCTGATCCCCTCAAAGGAGGAGGAGCGACCCAACGCTACTGCAGGCTGGAGAAAACGACCCAAAATGCCCACGCATCATGGAACCAAGCGAGAGCAAACAGCGCGAGCCTTCCCCCTATCGCCCCGTCAATGGGGCGACCCGCGAAAGGGCCAACGACCCCTACGAGAGCCCAACTGACGCTCATTGTGATCACTGCGCCGACCAGATGCCGACAGCTCCAGAGGAGGTGCCGGCCCTGAATCTGGCACTATTGGCTTACGACGACCGAAAGAATCCCAAGACCTGGCACGACCCTTCCGGGCAGGACCACCAGGTCCCCCCCCCCCCTTGGAGAACCAACAAGTCCGACATAAGCCGGCAACTAGACAAAGCCGCTTGCAGAAAATGCCCCACCGCAGACTCTGCAAACAGCAATGGACAAAAAGGAGACGAAAATCTAAGAGCCAGGGCCCAAGCCGATTCCAAAGAGTGGACGAGCACCGCCTGTTGGCACGCGAGGCGAGAAGCAGAGAACAGGGACACCGCCTCCCTCAGAATCGGCGCAAACAACTTCAACAAGGCAGCCAACGCCCGAGCCGCTGAAGTAAACACACCGACATTGGCCCAAGTCATAGTTCTTGTACATCCTCAACGAGTCAGTCTGAAGACAGCTCCAGCAGAGAAAAGAAAAGCAAGACCGAAGCCAAATGCCCACAGGCGTGCAAATCCTCCGCCACCAGGGACACCAAAAGGGAGGGAACCTGTGCGTGAAGCTGCATCTGACCGACATCACAAGGTACGGGGGCGAGCAAACACGCATTAAGGTGCTCAAATTAACCCGTAGGTATATCTGAACAACCGTAGTCACCTCCCACCATTCAAGTGCACGTGTCCAACATAACGACTGCCATGCCCCAACAAAAAAAAAAGGCCAGCCTGCCAACCAGGAAGACTCCAGCACCTCGTAACGCATCCAGAAAGAAAACGAGAGAGCCAAACTGGAAAGAAGGATCCATTACCGAGGCGCAATCCGGGTCTCGCAAGAGGTAAGCCACAAGGGCTTCCTGAGCCACCTTTGATGTGATGCAGAAAGTCGAAAACCTCTGGAAGGAAGGAACCGAGGAACCCAAGGGAACCCGGAACCGAACCCGGGGAGGAGTCACACCCATATTAAACTCATACAGAGGGGGGGGGGGGAGGATAAGAAAACCCCTCCCCCTGTAACAACAAGCCCTGTGCCGAGGGTACCAACACCCAAGCAGGGTCAAACGGGGCCCAAGTACCCCAAGTCAACTCCTCCCCAGCCCCGAAAACCTCCACATCAGGACGCGGGACTGAGCTGTCCTCCAAACCCTCTGCCTCTGGAGAAAAAGCAGAGTCCGCCGAAAAAGCCGGGATAAAAGGGGCCCGCTTGCATGGCCCAAGGGCTCCAGCAGGAGGAACAGGCTCGAATGCCTCCGCCGCCGATACGGAAGGGTCATTCCACGAAGCCGCCCGAGACTCGCCACCAGGCAAACCCTGCCCGACTCCGAAATCCTCAGACGTTTGGGAGCTGGGAGCAGGGGGAGGGGGGATACAGGATGAACCACAGCAAGGAAAGGACAATGGGTGCAGATGATACCAAAGTCGAGGTGACTGACACCCTCAAATCTGGGTCCCTATAACCAAAGCGGGGCAGCTGCAGGGCAGCCACGGGGCATCCGGAAAGACAACCAACGTTGCGCATTGCAGCAACCTAAACCTTGCCTGAAACGTCGAAGCTGCTTGCACCTGAATATCAATCTCATTGGACTCGGTGAATTGGAGTACAAAGAACACCACTCACAAGACTCCGGGTCAAAGGTGTCACTGACCCAACAAGCAGCATGGCAGAGGCAAAGCCAGCGAGTGTCACCCTGAGTCAAGGGGACAGAGCAACCTTCAAACTCGCACAAGGCGAGGTGGGACTCTAAAGTCTCTTCCATTGGACCACTGAGCCCCCAAGGGAGTTTCCAGGGCCCTTAGGCTGACAGCTAAGGGAAGCCCGGGCAAGATACTGCTAACCGGTTATCCTGGAGCTACCAAGTAAACAAACTATAAGCTAAACCCCTGCAACGTGTGCAAGCACGGGGACCTAGTGGAGGGCCACCAAAAACCTACAAGTGGTCCTATCGTCACACCAGGCAGACCCCCGCCAGGCAAAACAAAACAAAAACAAAAGAAAAAAAAGGTTGCTATGCGTATATCAAACAGCTGCATAGTACCTCATGCCCCAGCGACGAAACTACCTCTTACCCAAGGGAAAACAGGAGCACCCCAGCTGAACCTCAAGAGCGAGCAATCACCGAGCAGCAACAGAACCATGCGGAGGTAGTTCCCGAACAACTCAGGGAAGATAACTCTGAAGCCCCAAGGGCAGTACAGTGGCACCTCGACTTATGATTGCCCCTACTTACGATAATTTCGAGTTACGGTGTAAATTTCATAAAAAAATGCGACTCGACATCCAATGGTGTCGTCGACTTACGATATTTGTTGGTACACGTTCGGGTCGACCAAGCACGTGGTTCCTGGTCACGCGGCTGACCTGCCTCAGTTTACTACAGCTGCCCGCTTAGTGACGATCACGCCTATAAGAAATTTCGCTTTTGTGGGGATTTTTTGCATTTTGAACATTAAAGTTAATATATATCATGCCATGAGTCCCAGGAAAGTCAGTGGTAAGGCTCAACATATGAGATCCCATGTAAGAATGACCATAAAGCAGAAACAAGAGATCATTCGTAAATATGAAGATGGTATGCGGGTTGTTGGACTGGCTAGGCAGTACAACAAATCTCAGTCAACGATATCCACCATACTGGCTAAGAAAGAGGACATTATGGGTGCTAAAGTGATGCATCATTACAGACAAATGTTCAAACGCAGGGAAAAACAAATGTCTCTTGACAAATTTGTAGTGAGACAAACAAGCACTGAACCACAACCAGGTCCTAGTGGTATTCAGGCAAAATGTAGGAGAGAAAGTACCCCAGAGAAAACATCACTGCCTGATGTGATAATGGAAGGGGACTCCCCTTCCAAACAGTAACAACTCTCCTCCTCCCCCCTCATCACCATCTTCCATACGCCACCAAGAGCCCTCCATAAAGGTAAGAGTAACTTAGGTACTGTATTGTAGTTAGAAAAAAACATTGTATTCAGTATAAAATGTATTTGTATGTTAATATTTTGGAGGGTGGGGAACAGATTAATTCAATTCCCTTTATTTCTTATGGGAAAAATTGCTTCGACTTACGATATTTCGACTTACAATATTTCGACTTACGATCAGTCTCTGGGAACGGATTAGCATCGTAAGTCAAGGCCCCATTGTACTTACAGGGCACCTAGGGAAGGCGGCCCTAGATGCATGCAGCCCCAGTACTCTTGTGTTACTCCTGGCTCGCACCATACCAACACTGAACAACAACACCGCACTGCAGCACTGCTCAAAGGATGGAGCCAGAGTCGATCAACCATTTGCCTTCACAACAGCCTGTGAACTGAGGAGAGTTGCCGGCGTGGTGGTCATGGGACCCCCCCACTTGTCCCCCTGCCAGGGAGGGAGGGGGTTGCACAGACGGATGTGCAGCATTTGAAGTGACATCATACGTGTTTCCTTGGTTTTCATTGGGGAGTTCTTTTGCTAGTTCGGCTTTCAGTTTGCAAATTCTTCAATCAGCAGTAGTTTGTTTTGGAATTCCTACCTTTCTGGGTGCCTGACCTGGTAGATGGCAGACAAAGACTGCTTCCAATTACACGGGGGTGTCTTTAGGCCATTGCTCCTCGTGCCTCTCTTAAGGGGTCCAGGTTCTGGCTCTGGTCCTGGGTAGGCCTGGAACTCCTTCGACTGACTGTTGCCACAGTCTAATATATGCACATCAGCCCGGTATAGCTCTGGGGAGCCGAAGGGGCTCTCCACAGAAAGAAAGCCAAATAGAGTCCCCAGGTGCCTCCGTTAACACTGCTGTTGGTGACATCTAGTGGCAGACAAGAAATTTAGCAGAGCAATACTTGATGGTCTCTTTGAAAAAGGTATTTTGATAGTAAATTAAATTTATCTTCCGATTTATCCCTTAGTGCATTAAGAATTCTCAGTTGTCCCTCTTCCTCAGTTAATGAGCTTGTGGGAGAGGATTGACAAGATTCACAGCTGCTTTACGGATGACAAGGTGACACTGGTCAGGCTGAAATTTGGTTAAGTTCTTGGAAGAGAAAAAGTTAGGTTAAAAGTCTTTATGCAAAAGCTTTATTAACTGCTTGAAAATTACATTTATGAAAATTTGATCAAGTCTACAGGTTTTGTGGGGTTAGATGTGAAAGTGAAAAGTAGCCATAATAAAAATTAGTTTTACTCATTTACCTCCTCCTTCACCATCAGGTTCCAGCGCTTCACCTATCCTCATCTCCTTGATGGTAGGATCTTGACCATTGACACCATGCTTTACTTGAAAGAGCCGATTGGGAGCAGGCCCTCGATGAGCAAAATTACTCATAAACACCTGTTAAGATCCACATTTCTATATAATAATTGCATTAGGTATTTTTTATACCTAATTTAGATATTTTTTAGGTATGTGCTAAAATATTGTTGCTTTTGCCTACTTATTAAATATATGTACAGTATACACTTCCTATATTAATTCAACACGTACACTTCCTATATTCATTCAACACGTTTATCAATCTTCATAGTTTTAATCTATACTCAAACCAAACTACAGTACAATGCAACTCATTATTTAGGAATAATACTGTCCTATTTTTAATTTTCTGGGGAAAGCTCCTTGTGGCTCCATGAAGCTACAATCACTGATAATGTACCATCTACTAGGTGGCAGCAGCTATGGAGTTCTATATATCTACCGGGGACCAGCACCAAAGCCTGGCCTCCCTTACAGAAATGCAAAGAGCGTTGATATTTATTTATTTATTTATTTATTTATGCCACCATCGGGAAAGGCACCCAGAAAGTCAGTAAGACAAACCATTGCTGGCTTCAAATGAGACTACATCCTCGAGAACTGCCAAAAGAACTCCCTCAACTATGTAAACAATCAAAATCTCTTCAAACTAGCATAAGCTCATTTGCCCCGCCTCCCCAACTTGTTTGGGAGGAAGAGGAGAGGTAGCCGATGGTCAGGCAGCTACACCCCCCTCAGTTTTATTCTGATGCTAGTGTGTGCCAAGTTGCCTCTCTGCTACTCAGGCTCCAGTGTCTTGCTGATTCAGGTAAGTGGTGGTTTTTGCCCTTGTTGACATTCCAATGCACTGTGAAGTGTAGTATGAGCCAGGAATTTAAGAGTGCTTGGAGCTGCATGAGCACTGGGTTGTCTTCCCTGTGTGCTCCCTAGTGCTGCCCTTGCACTTCAGGGTTTTCTTCCCTGGGAGTGTTCAGGAGTTGCTTCCTTGGAGGTCCTCCTTGTTTGTGGTGGTCTTCACCTAGGGTGAGTCAGGTGTCTTGGGATTTTCCTCTCAGTACTTGGGTCAGGATTGACACTAGGTGGGGTGGAGCACACCCGGTTTTCGCACGCTACACTATAGTACGTCAGGGTCAGCCTTCGTATCATATAGACAGCTGCTGTCTTGGCTCACTACATTGTTTCTATATATTAGTCATATAGCTATATAGATTCGAATGATAGCCTTCTCCTTAGGTTCCGGCATAGCATTCCAGTGCCTGGGGTGTCCTGCTTGGTCAATTCCTTTGGGCCCTGGAAATCCCTGCAGGTTCAGTGGCCCCATGGATATTTCCCCCAAACCTGCTCTCGCTTTGTGCAAGTTTGAGGGTTGTACATTATTTGGTCCTGTGGAAGGTTTCCCCATATGGCTCTTCCTTGTAGTCTTGAGGTTTGGGTGTATGAGGCAGTGATCGCTTTATATGTTGGTCTTTGATCAAATGGTCTGGCTTGTGTGCTGAGTTGCATGTCCCAGAACTGCCCTGTTGGTGTACAGAGATGCAGAATTGGGCGTGTTTGGTAAATTCTACCTTCAGTTCATCAGCACCTCTTCCTTTCCCTACAAGAGGGACTCACCCCACTTCAGAGCCTCCCCCATTTCTGGCCTGGAGGTGTCTGAGGGTTTCTGGGGTCAGGGTTTATCTTGGGCATGGACCTCCGAGGATTGCATCATCCAATTTGGGCATGGAGGCAGTTGAGCCTGCTCATCATGCCAGGGTACCTGCTCATCATGCCAGGGTATCAGGGCCCTTCCTTTCAGCTAGCTTTTTCTTTCCTTGAAGCCCTTCCCTTGGATTCCAATTTTCTAGCCTGGGCAGTGGACAAGGATGCCGGCTTTACCACTGGGCCCTTGACTGCCATTAATGGGGCTTGGGTGGAGTTGGGTATAGACCCATGGGTGCCATTTGACTATGTGGTTTCTTGCTCCCTCCGTATGAGGGTAATTTTTGCTGGGGAAGGGATGTTCATGTTCTCCCCTCCCTGTCTGTATATGAGGTGGGTGCGGCTCATGGGCTCATCCCAAGGTTCATTTCTACGTGTTTTTAGACCTGTTGGTATCATCCTTCCAGAGGTTTCCTGCCTCTTGGGTCCCTCTTACAGCAGCTTGTGAGGCCCCCTTTTTCCATGCCTCCTGTGTGGACCAGCTTACGCCTTGTTGTTGGACCCTGACTCCTTCACATTTAGGTTTTCCTGTCTTTATAAGATGCATTATGGGGTTCTGGAATCTTACAGTCTAGCAGACATCCTGCACACTTCAGTAGCATAGGATGTTGACTGTCTTCTGGGTGTTTTTGGGGGACTCTTTCATGTTCTTCTGTGCTCCTGCCTTTTTCGGGTTGTGGGGCTCGTGAGACTCGGTGCCATTGTTTCCTCCTCCTTGGCGGCCCTTGTAGCAGAGATCCTGCAGATTCATCTGTGTTAGGGTTCCATTGTGTGTTTCTGGGATTTTGTAGGGCTTCCTTTGGTCTGGCTCCAGGAGGGTATTGAAATGCTGGGTTGGAAGCTGCATGCAGTGACCTCCAAGCTGTGTAATCACATGCTCTAGGACAAGGGAGGGCTTGGTCTTCACTGCCCAACTTGTAGGCCATTAGGCTGTATTGGCCCATTCTTGGGGTGAGGTAGGCCATCTGTGGGATCAATTGCTAGGTCACAGGTGCTTCCCTCTACCATTCTGTCTCAGTTGGGTCAGCTTTGGGTTGTGTCAGCCCTTTCGAAGTTCTCCCCATTGTCAGGGCATTGGGAGGGAAGCAGCTTGGCCAGTTTTTTACCCGATCCTGCAGTTCACATGCTTGTTGGATCATTTTCCATCATCTCATGGTATTCATGGTAGGTCTCTCAGTCTTTTGGGGGTTCAGGCCCTTTTGGCAAACCACCTCTCCTCACCTATGTCAGGTCCTCTCAGTGTGGGTGGCTTCCATCGTGGTCACTTCGGCTGCAGTGCTTTGGTGTTTTCCTGCCTTTTCCTGGTCCCACTTTGGGAATTCCAAGCCTTTGGTTCTTAGTCTTCCTTTCACGTATGCACCAGTTCTTTTCGTGTCCCTCCTTCCAGTTGTTTACTTTGTCCCAGGTCCATCTCAATTTCAAAGTGGCCACTTGGACCTAAGGGTGTTTCTTTGCACATCCCTATACATCCAGGGGTTCATCTTTGGCTAAGCCTTGTTGTGGGGCACCTTACTTATCACTTTCAGTTCCTCCTATTTGTTCTACATTTGGCTCCATGCATGTTCTCACAGTTGGCTTGAACTATTATGGCTCATCTTCGTTTGTTGGTGGTTCTGGTATTGGCCTACCTCAATGGTGTGGGCTTCCAGCCAGTCTGCATGTCTGCTCAGCAGGGTTCTAGTTCTTTTCCAGGTTTCCAGGCTCTGATTCCTGGTAAACTGTCAGAAGTCCCAGTTGGTTCCGTCCCAGGTTCGGACTTGGCTGGGCCTTGTTTGAAACTCTCAGTCGGTGTCGCTTTCCTTGTCTCCTACGGCAGTGACCAGGCTGCAACACCACTGTCTGTCAGTTTTGAATTGGCCTCAGATGACTCAGTGGTTGCTCAAGGAGTTGTATGGGATCCTGTATTTTGCCTGCCTCGTGTTTCCTCCGGGCAAGATTGGGCTTTGGCAGCTATTTTTTTTCTTTTTCTGCAGGTTGGTACAGGAACAGATGGATGCCTCCCCTTGAGCCTTCCCCTCGAATGCCTCCGAGCCAACCCCAGAACGGGCAATCCCCAAAACTGCCTGACTCTCAAACCTCAAAACCCTGACCCGACACCGTAGCCCTCAGACGCCTTGGAGCTGGAAGCAGGGAAAGGGGGGAACCGAACAAACCACAGCAGGGAAAGAATGAGGGGGTGTGGACAGAAGCAAGGCCGACGCAACCAACACCCTTGAGACCGGTTCCTGAGAAGCAAAAATGGGGCAGCCTCAGGGCATCCGAGGAAGCAACCAAACAAGCGCGTTGCAACAACCTATCCGGCAACGCGCGAGCTGCTTGCACCAGAAGAATGTCATCAACAAATAGGGTGAATGGAGCCACAAACAAGCAAACAAACCTCACAGGAGTCGGGGTCGAATGTGTCACCAACCCAACAGGCAGCATGACGGAGGTAAAAACAATGAGCGTCACTCCTGAGACAAAGGGACAGAGCAACCCTCAAACTCGCAGAAAGCAAGAGGGGATGCAAGGGTCACACCCAGTGGACCCGAGTGCCCCCACAGGGTTTTCCAGGGCCCCTTGGACTGGGTCTGCTAAGGGTTATCCCAGGCAGGGTACTACTAACCGGCGCCCCAAATTACCAAGTAAACTGCTAAAAGCTGAACTCACGAGACGTGTCCACTCACGAGGGCAACGCAGGGGGTGCCACCACACAAACAACCCTAATATAAGGGGAGGGAGAACACAAGGCTGAGCCTCCCACCAGGCAAAAAGAAAAAGAAAAGAAAAACCTCTCAAGAGGACAACGTACCCGAAGAGAACAGAGCCGGCCGCTGTTATAGGTGAAAACTAGCTACTCAGTACCCCGTGCCCCACCAGTGCAATAACTACCACTTACCCCAAGGCAACAAGGGGGTGGAACCCCCCCCCCCCCCCCCACACACACTCGGGGCAGCCAAACGCCAAGCAGCGAAAGGCCAACAGAGGTAGACCCAAGGTAACTTGTGGAAGGGAACCCCAAGCCCCAAGGGCGATATTTACAGGGCACTCAGGGAAGGTGACCCTAAACACATGCAGCCCGAGTACCTGAGAATACTACTCCCAGCTCACACGACCACTGAAAGAGCAGCACTGAAAACAAGTAACAGCACTGAAAGAAGACCGGAGCTGGAGCCACACAACTATGCACGATTCCATCAGCCGAGGAACTGGGGGTGAGGATCGCCAGCGCGAAGGTCTGGGGCTTCCCCTTCCCCCTCCCGGGGAGGGGGGAGCTGCGCAGACATGCAGTGCGGCTCGTGTGAAGTCATGCTTGTTTGCTTGTTTTTCCTTTGTGGTATTCTGTCCACTCGTTTGATGTTTTTTGTTGTTAACCAGAATAGGGGTCTGTTTTGTGGCAC